ATGGACTATATTATCTTGATGAACCTATTGGCAAGGATAGTGTTAGGAAGGATGTTCAAGTCTTTGTTTCCTCAGAAACTCATCCCTCTTTAAATAAACTTTGGCTCTATCATTATAGACTAGGGCATGCCTCATTTAGATCTCTTAAAATTTTATACCCGAATTTGTTCGAAAACTTTAGTTTTGATTCAATAATACAGTGTGACATTTGTGAATTTGCTAAACACAAGCGTGTTCCATTTCCTAGTAATAATAAACGAATTTTAGTTCCTCTCTCTTATTCATAGTGATGTTTGGGGTCCCTCCAACGTGCCAAATACTTCCAAATTACGCTGGTTTATTGTATTCATCGATGATTGTACTAGGGTTTCGTGGGTTTATCTTCTAAAACAAAAATCTGATGTTGGTTCTACCATTCAAACATTCTTYCATATGATCGAAAATCAATTTGGAATCAAACCCAAACGATTAAGGTCTGACAATGCTCGAGACTACTTCAACCAAACATTAACATCGTTCTTTCAAAAACATGGAGTCATTCATGAGTCTTCTTGTGTGGAAACTCCTCAACAAAATGAGATTGTCGAAAGAAAAATTGGTCACTTCCTTTCCGTGACCGGTGCCCTTCTTTTCCAAAGAAATGTTCCTAAATCCTTATGGTAGGAAGTTGTACTGACAGCCACTTACTTAATCAATCGGCTACCATCTGCTATTTTAGGTCAAAAAACTCCCATGAATATCTTATCAAAATTTTACCCTGATTTCTGTACGACAAATAACTTGATTCCTTGAGTGTTTGGTTGGGTAGCTTTTGTTCATGTTCATAGTCATCAACGAGGTAAACTTTATCCATGAGCACTCAAATGTATTTTTGTTGGATACTCGAACACTCAAAAGGGATATAAATGCTACCATCCTTCTAAAAAGTATTTCATCTCCGTCGATGTCACTTGTTATGATGATACTAGCTTCTTTACATCACCTTATCTTTAGGGGGAGGACATATTGTTGGAAGATAAGAATTTTCCTATTCCTAACCTCACCTTTCCTTCAAACCCTTCAAACCCTTTGTCATCACATGCACCAAACCCTACTAACATTGACCTTAGTCAATCCTCTTCATCTTTAGACACCTCATTAGAGACATCCAACCCCCCTACTACTATGCCATTACAGGTTTGTTCGAGAAAGAACACTGAAAAAGATAAGCAAGTCCAAGAGTCTGAACATATCTCTGGAACTGAAATTGACGAGAAAAATATCAATAATGAGCCTGACGCTATAGTATCTACTAATGATATGGATTTGCCTATTGCTTTGAGGAATGGAAAACGAACTTGTACTCAATATCCATTATCTCACTTTGTATCATATGACAAACTCTCAAGTCAGTATAGAAGCTTTATGGTGAACCTTACTCAGGTAAATATTCCAAAAACATATATGGAAGCAATACAACATGAAGAATGGAGACA